CTTTCCTTCTTTCTTTGTTTTCCTTTCCTTTTTTCTTTTTTCTTTTTTCCTTTTTTCTGTTTTCTTTTTTTCTTTTTCCTTTTCCTTTTTTCCATTTTTCCATTTTTTCCTTTCCGGATCTTTTGTCTCTTCTTCCCTCCCCCCTCCCCCCTCCCCCCTCCCCCTCTTCCCCTCTTCGTCCATCTGCTCTGTTTTCCTTGGTTCCTTTTTTATGTTTGAATCGGTGGAGTAGCAGAGAGCGTGACCCCGGCCAAATGAGAATTGAACGCTCGCGCCCCGATTTTTAGACAAGGAGAGTAGCTCGCTCTCGGATTGTGACGAATAACTCACGAGGTAAGGGGACCTTCAGGATCGTTACCCCGTCATACGCAGTAATTTGAATTCGGTGTTCTGATCGGCCTACCATTCGTTTAGTCCTTTCAAGTTTCCCTGCCCTTTTTCCTGTTGTTTTTCCTTTTTTCTTCTTTTTTTGTTTTTCCTTCTTTTTTCCTGTACATAGGATAGGCATGCGTAAATGGATGGATAGTGGTGATAGCTTGTATTGGAAGGCTGTAGTTTAGGAACCCGTACCGCGGCTATATCTAAACAGTACGCAGGGGCTCTATTCATCGGTGTTCAGCATACGACCAACGAGAAGGCCGTTTTTTTCGCGATCGCGGAGGGTGGTGGGATCTATGGACGATATGGACTTCTTTGCGGACTGGGACCTAGACGAGGAGCAGAGGAACGAGGAGGAAGTGGTAACATTGCTGGACGAGGGCACCCTCCCGGTTCTGTGACCATACCCCGGGGCCTGAGCGCTCCGAGGCTGGGCATCATGCATACGGCCTCTACCTGCCCCGCTGAACCTGCTCCGGCCAGCCTGCCCCCCGCGCCAGCACGAAGCGTCGCCTTCGTACTCCTCCTTCTCCTAGCCCTGCTTCCTAATCTCGCCATAGCTAGTGCGCTGGTGATTGCTTGCCTCTTGGAGGGCATGTTTCTTCGGCTTTCGGCGAGGCGCTTCGCATGTCTGCTCTGCTGCACCATCTGCTTCGCGACCTTCTTCCTTGCCTGCTGCTGCTGCTTGTTTTTTGTCGTAGGTACTCAGGGGTGGCTTGAGCGCTAGTTGGGCTACGGATTCTAGTGAGGAACGAATCGATGGAGCGTAGATCCACGGCGGAGGAGTCGGCTTGCGCCTTTCTGGCTTTTCTCGCATTCCTCTCCTTTCTCTCCTTCCTCTACTTCATCCACTCCCTTCCCTACCCCTATCCACTCAACCCCCCCTTTCCCCCTTTCCCGCCCCTCTCCCACCAGCACCACGCCCCACCACCACCACCCCCCCTTTCCCACTACCCCCCTCCGCATAACACGACCACCTCACCAACCATCCCCCCGCCTTCCTGAGACCGTGGAAGGTGTCCTCCTCCCCCCTCTGATGACACCCCAGGTGGCATGGGGCTGAAAAGCGCTTCAGGGAGCGGCCACGCCCTTCCCGCAATTTCGGCGAGATGATCCACGCAGATGCAGGCATGCGATGGATCTGGAGGAGAGAGCTGACGCGGGATATGAACCTCCGCCCTTTCCCTTCCCCCTCCCCTCCCCCCTCCCCCTTCCCCCTTCCCCCTTCCCCTCTCCCCCTCTTCCCCCCCCCCCCTCTCTATTCCCCGGTCTTTCTCTCCTAGCCTTTGGGACCACGTGTATGACTTGATGGCAGGGGTACGGAGCGGGCAGTGTGACGTATAATAATAATTTTTAGGTGCAAATATAAACGGATCATACTATCTCTGTCCTCTTAAGAGTTGGCTTTCATCAAGATTACTCGTTGTCCTTTCTATTTTCTCCCTTCCCTACTCCTCTCGCTCTCCTCTCTCTCTTTGCATTTTTCTCTTGCTCTCTTCCTCTCCCTTCCCTGTTGGTACGCTACGGATGATGTCTCTGTGCTTTCTTTCGATTGTCAGAGAAGTGCTTCATTATTTGGCATCCTGATTGGTGTGTCCCATTGAAATGTTGCTTTAATCGCATCTATACTTTAGGGAGTATGTGTTTGCTTTCAATACCTGCTCTGTCAATCGATCTGTCGATCTGCGTTGGCAGAGTGTTTCGTCATATGCCATCCTATTGGTTTGTCCTGAATAATGTCCCAATGGAATGGTGCTTTGGTCGCAACTATGCCTTAGTATTTATGTGTGTACCTTTGGTGCGTCCTCCAAGATTCGGTTCTCCGAAATATCTTCTCTTCGTGTTTGTTTGTACCTTTTTCCAAATGAATAGTTTGATCAATGCCCTCCGTGAGCAGCGAAGCACCTCCACCCCCCTTCGTCGCTTTAAAATCGCCGTTAGCGCAGAATCGGCCTACTTCACCTGATAAACGGACCAATGGTTACCTTTACCAATTGGACATACCAAGTGGTTTAACCTTGCCGCGTTTGTATCGCCTCCCGCATCTTGCTCATTGCTCACAGTGTGCCGACGATTGTTTGGTCGGAGTTGCGCGAGCATGATGTGTCGTGCTCGTGCACAGCGCATGTGGAACGCACATGCTACACACACACACACACACGTTTTTTTTTTTTTTTTTCAAATAATGCAAAACATTATAAGTTGATACACGTGCCCACCCGCGCTGTTATTCGAAATGCACAGTTTTGCCACTTGTTCCCTAATGACAGCGTGGAACCACCAGCTTTTCGCCGGGAAAAAAAAAGCAGGACAACGTAACTTGGGAAATTACCCCTGACAACATCCCACTGATATGATAAAATGGTATGTTTTGACTATAGGAACTTGCTGTATTTTTTGGTCTTTGAGTTATATTTTAAGTGGATTGCCTTCACTGCCTTTCCTCACTTTAGTTATGCCCTCGCAATGACCAAAACATCCACACGGGAAGCAAACATTGCATTACGGGCTTATATATTGATGACCAAAACATCCACCCGGTAGGCGGCCACGACTGACATGGTTCAACCACAGGTACACACACACACACACACACACACACACACACACACACACACACACACACACACGCACAGGGAGTACTGTTCCCCAACAGACATGAGAGAGAGAGGGAGTCTGAGAGAGAGAGAGAGAGAGAGAGAGAGAGAGAGAGAGAGAGAGAGAGAGAGAGAGAGAGAGAGAGAGAGAGAGAGAG